GGTGTGTGTGTGTGGTAGGTGTAAATGTGTTGTGGTGGTGTGGGTGTGTGTGAGTGCTGGTGTGGCCCGCTCTGTCTATCGAATGATTGCATCGGAATGCATTTGCGATGCGTTGAAGTCGAATGATTCGATGCCTGTGACTCGAATGATTCGGATGCGTGAATCAATGATTCGATGCGGTGAATCGGAATGATTCGGATGCGTGAATCGAATGATTGATCGAATCATTCGATTTCTGGCGCATCGAATTCATTCGATTTGCACGATCGAATGATGAGGCGAAAATGGATTCGGATGCGTGGTGTGATGTCGATGATTCGGATGCGTAGAGGAGGGGCAAAATAATGGGATTGGCGTAAATCGACATGTTATATCTGAATAACTCGAATTGTGTGTAGTACTGTGATAAATCGATATGTTATAGATGCTGATAAAATCAAAGATCCATAAAACAACAAGTCGTGATGTTATGATGGCACTAGCTCAGATGTGTGTGGCCATTGCGCATACACAATGAGCATCCAAACGTGATACATTCCTACGACATAGCAGTGCATCTAGGAACTCGCATGTGGGGTCATCTTGCTAGGATTAGAATATCTGCTCTAGATGTCTACGAATTTGGGCGGTGTATATGGTATTCTAACATTTGAGTAGCGGGTGATTGTTTCGCAGCTGAGAGAGTAGATTTCCGCTCTCTCTCTCTCTCTTCGCCTCTCTCCTTCACTCTCTCGCTCTCTTCTCGCTCTCTTCTTTCTCGGCTCTCGGCCCTCTCTCTTTCTCTCTCTCTCTCTCTCTCTCTCTCATCTCTCGTCTCTCTCTCTCTCTCTCTCTGGTCTGCTCTCTCTCTCTCTCGCTCTCTTCTCTCTCTTCTCTCTCTCTCTCTATATAATATATTATATATATATATATATATATATATATATATATAATTATGTAAATATGCACACGTACCGGCCCGTGTCAGAGACGGCTTCGGTTCCTCGACATCATCTTCGTTATCAAAATCTTCAGCGTGCGGCGTTATCATCTCATAATACGCCATCTCGAACTCTAATTTGGTTTGTCTCTACACTAAAATGCCGCCACGAAACATCAGACGCACACACGCAGAGCGACACGGCGTCTGTCGCGCTCGCACACGTGTGTTCGTTATTTCTGCTGCCGTCGTAAACCTGTTTGTCGTCGGTAACAGAGTAGTTCAACGATTCGTCCTTGAAAACTACTTAGCATAGTAAGGCGCGACGTTGCAGCGTAACGGGGTTATTGCAACACCCTTCTACATGATTATATAATCAGATACGCGATTGAACAGAGTTGATAAAATATAAATCATAATTATTATAATAACCTATTGAACCATAATAGTCAGCTCCGAGTCGATTGATATGTGATAAATGCGATGTTTTGTGCATGCGGGAAAGATGTACCGCGCTAATCATGATACCCTTTTCCTATCTGATGCATACGTAGCTGCCATTACAGCCTTTCCTACGTTCTATATTTTTAGTGCCGCCCTAATAATATATATCAATATATGGTAGTGTACGCTCTTTCTCATTAGTGTAATACGGGACTTCTCTAATCAATAGTACAATGAAAGTGTGTTAATCCCATTGGTGCGATCCGTTATCTATCAAATCTACCAGTGCAATACGAGATTATTGACCAGCTCGGTGCAATATGTGACTGTTCATTCGTCAGTACAATACGGGACTGTTAACCCCCACGAGCACCTTACGGGACCGTTAACCCATATAGTACAATATGGGACTGATTATAACCCTTTAGTACAATACGTTTCGTCTAACCCCATCAGTACAATAAAGGAGTTCTAGCGTAAACACTACACTACGGGACTGGTAACCTTAGCAGTACAATTTCAAACTGTTAACCCAATCAGTACGTACGGGACTGCTAATCCATTATTAACTAGAAAGGGCAGTTGTCGCCAACTACATGTATCCCCCGTGTTCTCCCCAAGATGTGTAAGTATACGAAGTTTGGTTGCGCTAGGTCAATTAGGGGTTGAGTTATAGAGCAGAAAGGAAATATGATGAAGGTCAAGGTCAATGTCAATGTCAAATAAAGGTTGCAGTGACCTGGTTTCGGTACGCGACACACCTTCTCCCCAAGATGTGTAAGTATACCAAGTTTGCTAGCGCTAGGTCAATTAGCGGCTGAGTTATAGAGCGGAAGGAACATATGATCAAGGTCAAGGTCAAGGTCAAATAAAAGCGGCAGTGACCTGGTTTTGATATGCGACACACATTCTCCCCAAGATGTGTAAGTATACCAAGTTTGGTAGCGCTAGGTCAATTAGGGGCCGATTTATAGAGCGAAAGGGAAATATGATCAAGGTCAAGGTAAAGATCAAATAAAGGTCGGAGTGCCTGGTTTTGGTACGCGACACAACTTCTCCCCAAGATGTGTAAGTATACCAAGTTTGGTAGCGCTAGGTCAATTAGGGGCTGAGTTATAGAGCAGAAGGGAAATATGATCAAGGTCAAGGTAAAGGTTAAATAAAGGTCGCAGTGACCTGGTTTTGGTACGCTGCCCACCTTCTCCCCAATATGTGTAAGTAGACCAAGTTTGGTCATGCTAGGTCAATTAGGGGCCGAGTTACAGAGCGGAAGGGAAATATGATCAAGGTCAAGGTAAAGGTCAAATAAAGATCGCGGTGACCTGGTTTTGGTACGCTACCCACCTTCTCCCCAAGATGTGTAAGTAGACCAAGTTTGGTCACGCTAGGTCAATAAGGGGTCGAGTCATAGAGCGGAAGGGAAAATCTCTGCGGTGGACCGAGCGGCGGCGGCGGCGGCGGCTGTACAGACATGAAACCATAGTATCCCTGCCGACTTCGTCGCGGGGGATACAATAATATACACACCCGTTGCCGAATCTGTATAATAGTGTTACCTTAATCACTGCAATACAGGACTTGTTAGGTCAACATTCGACTGCTTACCCGGCGGTAACTGATTGCTGACGGGTCACTTCAATACAAGATTATTGATTCCATCAGTGCAATACGAAACCGATACATCAGTATGATCCGGCCTGTTACCCTACTGTCTAACGCTAGTAAAACAATATACGTTATTGTATTGCAACCGTTAGCTGCGTAATGCGCGTTTTTAGTCTAAGTTAATCCGCGGGAACAGTATGCTATTCAACTTATATTCACTTATTTCATTCAGTTGAATTATTGGACCGTAATGGCGGCTACACTTTTGCGTTTCTCATGCCACGTATGCATTCAAGACATATCCCGATGTAGTAATTTTATCGTAATTGTACGCGAAATGTCGCAAAAAAACCTGGACGTGTGACATTCTATAGTATAATATAATATAGACATTCTACAATAACGCTTGCCCGTATACATGGGACGGTACAATGAAGAGCTATATGCGATATATCACCTCGTTTCACGGCAGCCGGTTCTGCCGGTGGCGCAACGTAGCTGGGCATGACGGGCGTAAGGTCGTCGATGTCATCTGGAGACTCGGGCTCAATGGAAAAGGATGGCGGCTGAGCAGGCTTGCCGAGCATTGCCTCCTTCTCTGCAGCTACACAAGTTAGGAAGCTTAGACACGTTCGGATGCTTTAATGACACATATATATAACAAAATAAAATGTCTTTTTAGTATACGTGCTTTGAAATTCTGTGAAACTTTGCAGGCTTCCTACGGCCGTATATAACACAAACATGCTTGCGATAGAGACCAAAAGAAGCACATAACAGCAACCCCAACAACAAACCTATGCGTGCCTTACATGCTCATGCAATAGAGTCTCCTCTACTCACCTACTTCCTGGAATAAGGTAACCTCTTGTAACTGATCTCGGAAGCCATTTCTCCCCACATTGGCTTCCAAATTCGACCACGTTATACGCGAAACCCGTACGCCACCACAATATTAACTAACATGCACAGATACAACTAGCTGTATGCGAGAGTTACATCGAATGCCGTTCGGCAGCCATCCTAAAATTGATCAAATCTGCTTATTGATTATTCTCGCCGAGCTATGATACAATCTAGCAGACACCGCGGCGGCTGACGCCACGTTTGCCGTTGCGGCGCCGCCGGACGCACCAACATCGTAACTGACTGACGCAGCCGAGGATCATACTCAACTGCAACTTCCCATTGATGCCTGAGGAGCAAGCTCAGAGATAGTGACCGTTGGTCATTTGAAACATGAAAATGGAGTCTTCCTCATCAGCGAACGATCGCGACCATCATAGCAAAACTAGAAGCTGTAGCATTAATTCCCTTTCTTGATTTTTCGTCTATGTTGATATAGATTAACATGTGATTGCTTTACAATTACAGTGTAAGCACTCTCTAGTCGATAGCGTATAATACCCGTGGCTCTAGTATTGGGCGACTTACTGTTACTTACGTTCTGGGTCGGATAAAGATCACCTGGACGCAGTATGCTTGTGAGAATGAGAAATTAGTTAGCAAGGTTATTAATTTAATTGGACAAATGACACGGCTTTCACATGCGAATCGTAATTCGCACGTCGAATCGGTACATGATCAAACTAATCACGTACTAAAGCCAACCATATCCATGTTTCCTTCTGTTTACATCACTAGCTTACCTGCCAGATTAGGGTCTTTGTCGAGCTTGCGCATCGGTAGCTTGTCCCGGTTGTAGCTCATCTATACATGCAATAAAAACTATAAGCTAGAATAGCTGTTCCGACTCAGGCAGGTACATTCATAAGTCGCTCGTAGTTTCAACTCAAGTAACTTTAGAATCCACATCGATTTTGGTAGGCACAGTTTGCCTCTCAGAAATCAAAAGGGTTCAGATAAACGTGAAAACGTCAGAGGAGTGAAAACGTCTATAAACTGTGACTTATGAAAATGCCAATATATTGCGTAAAATAAGCGCATCATTGGTTCAAATGTTCATTCTGTTTTGCAGAATGATCATGCGTTTTGTTAAATTAGAGTAGGCCCCCTATATATGGCTGTTTCAAGCGGTAACATAATTATTATATCGTCAGTGTAACAATTCGAGTTTGCTAGGTGAAAAGCACCACTAGTAGTAAATACTAAAAGAATAACAACGAAACACATTAATATTGTATCAAGAGCGTATAAAGAAGGACCCTTCTTTATACGCTCTTGATTGTATTGATCTTCAATCAATATGCAGTGCGGGTTGCTATGGAGTGCAGGCTCGCTACAGTCTGATCAATACGTCATGCTTAACTGAACTATCATCAGCATGCCAGTGATAAAGGTCTCAATATTACCTGTTCCGGAAGCGACCTCCTTCAGTTTCGAGCAACCTTCCACGTTGTCCATAACATATGGGAGGTTTTTCGCTTATTTACAAAGCCAGGGACAGGTTAGTTTCCTAAGAATGGGGGTTTGTCGGGGGTAGATGTTGGTATATAAACTCAAACAACTCTTCGTAGCAAACCACCTAAGCCACCCCTTCATACTCATTACCCCCGGAGTAAGACAACGAATCGTGCACGGATGAAATTAACGTGCTAATTAGAGAAGATATATGTTAAAGAGACTTAAGTAGACTTACGGTGTCTGCTTCTGTCGGCAGCTAACCACAATGGGCGCGATGCTTACGCCTGCTCGTACCAAACTAGACAATCACTGAAAACGCTGTCTTGACGTCCTAGCCCCAGCAAGACCAACGAGGACAAGGTTACTAGCAAGCAGCAGCTGTCTCCGCCTCCGGTGCCGTTCCAGTACGATCTGTCGATGTAAAAGATGAGTGCTCTAACCATACACGTCTCTTGCAGTGCGTGCACATCTTGTCTATCTCACTCGCGCACGCTCCTTCTCTCCCCTGCAGCTCGAAACAGAAGACGCCAAACGAATAACTAATTTGATGACCACGTGTCTGTCGCTCACCTGGCAGAGCAACATATTAGCAAGTCATTTCTCCGATTGCATATTCCGAGGAGTAGCGACCTGGCGATAGTATATATAGTAATAGGAAGCAGTACGATATTGATCGCAAAGAACTGCGCGCGGCGTTCGCCAGTCCATTACGAAATAGAATGACAACCATGACCCAAAACGAGCATTTGTCTATGTTGTTTTTTTACCAGAACGCATCTGAACGTTTAATATTAATAGACAAGAATAAGGCCCGGTAAACTATTTTTATTTAATCGAAAAGATCTTTTGTTGAAGGCGAAATGGGCCAAGGCACGGCCCACTGCAAATAGGAGCAGACGCCCTTCGCACTGCGAGGTTACTTAAATACACCGTAACATTATGCAGCTTGATAAATGTTCGATTAGTATTTTTGGGCAAAATAATGCGCGTTACATCGAGTTACAGTCATTTAGCGCCTCTTTAGTTCATGTGTATCACTTATACGACATACGGAAGCGCCGCCTAGGTCGAATAGTGACAGATTTCCGGAATATTCGCATTCACCGTCATTTATATAGTGAATCATCCAATTCAATACTTAGTGTTAGCGCGGCGGTGGTCATTATTATAATACACCCTCGTATTGCATGTGGGTGTGGGGTGTGTGTGTGTGTGCGTGCGTGCGTGCGTGCGCGCATGCATGTGTGTGTGTGTGTGTGTGTGTGTGTGTGTGTGTGTGTGTGTGTGTGTGTGTGTGTGTGTGTGTGTGTGT